GTCTGCTCAACAGGGCAGGGGGATGCCCACGAGTGTGCAAACGTGTCCAGACCACTGCAGAACCCCGTCTGCTCAGCTAAAGAGGCCCTTCCTCTGTGATCTTTCCCAACATGGCAAATGTCCTGCACCACCAGCCACCCCTTCCGTTGGCCACAGTGGATGACACTAGGGATGGACACTGACCAAGAAGGTACCAACCTGATTCCAGCTCCTAGAGCTGGCCAGGTGCCTGACAGGAAAATGAGGCATCTGAGGAACACAGAGAGATGGGGGTAGGGTGGTAGGGAGAGGGAGATGAAGCCACACCCCAGAGCTCCTCGGTTTGTAGCTCTTTCCCCAGGCCTGGCTAGGTCCCTGCCTTGGATGCCATGAGACATCCACCCTGGATAGCCTGCCAGTCCCTTTATGTTTGACAGCTGGAGTTGGAATTTGCCTCCCGCAGACCACAGGACTACAGCCTTCATTCACATGTTGCACAGACTGTGGCAGGACCAGCACCCGCTGCCGGTGTGGGATGCTTGGCCCTGTAGGGGCCCCCAGAAGTGGCTGAAGAGCAAGGCGTGATGCCTCTCGGGCCACCCTGCAAACCGCTCACAAGCCCGTCGAGGAGGATGCATTTGATCAGGGTAACTGGAGTCAGCAGAGGGCTTTCCAAGGACAGGTTTGCCAAGAAGCGAGAACAGACTGAAGGGGGAAGGATAGAGGCACTGGGTGTAGTCAGACACCACTGCAGCGGTAGACGAAAATCGCGCAGTGAGAGGACCCTGTGGGGAGGGTAACTAGGTGCATGAGAGTGAGAGGGGCGAAAAAAAGACTCGAATGGCTCCGAAGCTCCTGGCCCAGCTTCCAAGGGTTGGTGGCCCAGGACTGCCCCTGCACGCGGCCTCGGGTGCCTGCTCTGGACAGGCCTCCTTCTCCGGCCCAGTCTCGGCACCAATCATTGTCCCATCCGCCAGTCAGCCAAATCCTGAGTTCACCCCGGAGCCCAGCACTCTGATGCAATTGTCCCTGCTCCGAAAACCCTCAGCAATCTATTGGGTCTTCAGTAGCATCTACTCTTTCTAGAAATGTCGAACAAGGTTTTCGATTGTGGTGCGCTTGTGGTACGCGTGTGGCAGACACAGAAAATGAAACGACCTTCCAGAGAACTGGCCAAAGGGCAGGAGCCGCTCCAGTACCTGAAGGGCACGGACTGAGCGCTTCTCACGGAGTCGGGGAGGTCGTCGGCCCATTCACCGGCTGCCCGAGGGCCTCCCACTGGCCTCCCACGGCCGCCCTCCGAGGGGCCGCTGCTGACCTCGCCGTGCTGGGCACGCCTGGCTTTAGCGGGAAGCTGGGGGTCAGGTTCAAGGCTGTGAGGAGCCACTTCAGCCTGGGAATTTGAATTCTTCCTTCAAAAGCGCCTGTCCCCACAATGGGCTTGTACTGGGGAAAAAATCCACACACGGGATGAGGTGCTCAGCTTCTGTGAGGGTGACGGTTCTGAGCATTTCGTTTTTCTTCCCTTCAGATTTTGACAGCCGTGGACTAAAACGGTTGCAGGCTCAGTGCCGGAATTCCCGTACCGCCTTCCACCAGGCTCCCCGACACGGCCCCCACTTGGTGGTCTGGCAGGCGTGGTCGGTTGGGGGCGGCGTCCCGGGAACCCCGAAGCCCTAGCCTTCCCCGGCGCCCCGCGAACACCCTCTGAGGCCCCAACAGCGGAGCTCCTGGGCCCCTGGGAGGCACGTCCG